GATAGATAGATAGATGATAGATAGATGGATAGATAGATAGATGATAGATAGATGATAGATAGATGAATAGATAGATAGATAGATAGATAGATAGATGGATATATAGATGATAGATAGATAGATGGGTAGAAGATAGATATTCTTGTTTACTGTAATTTTTATATTTTAATTTTAATTTTAGTACATCAAGATAAATTTTTATTTATTTTAGTTCAGGTAACGAATTTTTATCTTTACTCAAGTAACGAAAATGTTTTAGTTCTAGTTAACTACAATAACACTGATTCTGCTAATACAAGTCTTATTATTTTCTTAAAATGTTTCTTTTTTAAAGATAAAATTATTAGTTATTGTTTTGTTTTTAAATGTGTATATATATATTAGTGCTGTCAAACGATTAATCACATCCAAAATAAAAGTTTTTGTTTATATTATATATGTGTGTGTACTGTGTATATGTATAATGTATATATAAATACACACACATACAGTATATATTTTGAAAATATTTACATGTTTATGCATTTATCTATTCATATTCTTATATTTTATATTATATATAAATGTATTTAATATATAAACATAATGTATTTTTCTTAAATATATACATGTATGTGTGTGTATTTATATATACATTATACATATACACAGTACACACACATATATAATATAAACAAAAACTTTTATTTTGGATGCGATTAATCACAATTAATTGTTTGACAGCACTAATATATATATTCAATTTTAGTAAATCAAGATAAACTAAATGAAAATGTGAAATAAATTACTTTTTTTTTTTAAATATCATATTTTATTTCAGTTAACGTTAATTTCAAGTACCACATTTTTTTAAAAAATGGTTTTCGTTAACTCTAATAACCCTGATTAAAAACAAGTCTTATTATTTTGTGTTAATTTTCTTAATTTTCCCCCAGTATTTGATTTTATTCTGTCTTCAGATTATTTTACTTTTTTTAAACATAAACAAGCATGAATTTATTCTAATCTAATTGATTCTGATCTAATCTTTTTAACAGCTCTTTTTGCAGTGTACTGTAAAAGTCGACTAAAAGTCGTATAAAATGTATAAAAAAAGTTGAACTGTTAGAATTCCTGTATGTTTTGATAAAAGCAGCGGGAGAGCGAGAGCAGACGTGGGAGATGGAAAGCCGACAGCATCGAGAGCATGTGTGAAAGCGCCGCTTTGGTTGTTAGCATTCAGCGCGCAGCGCCCCTATCCCATACTGCCAGTCTCCAAGACAACGGCCTACTTAGAGCCACTACACAGCACTACAGGCGAAGCTCTGCCTGTCACGTGGGCCGCAGGAAGAGTGCTTTTGTGTGTGTGAGTGATATAGAGGAGGAAAGGCTGAACTGTGCTGTACCTGAACACTGCAGGCGCTTCATAACCAGCCAAATGTGTAGTGAGACGGCCATATGTCTGCAACAGTCTGACCTCAGACATCCATCTGTGCAGGGTTTTCCCCCTGGGCTGTTGTCTCATTCGCTTACACTGTATGAATCATCAATATTTGGTCTGTTGGATTGTTATCCTGCATTTTTTGGAATCATACGAATTGCATTTGTTTATATCTTAGAAATTGTGTCATGGTGTAACGTTTGTTGCATTACTTGTCTGGTTTAGTCTTTTTGGGTCAGAGAGTTATGTAATTCAGTCTGTTATGCATTTGAAGGGGAAAGCGTGCATTACAAAGCACCAGATTTATGGTCTGACATATTTGTCAACTGATGTGTTTGGGTTTTTTTTTAGTGGCTGATGCCAATATCTGGCAAAAAGGGTGGTCTGAAGGCTAAATAATGCAAATTAATGATTGCTGAAATTAAACAACCTTTTATCTTATAAGATTTATTCATAAAAAATTGAAAAGGATTATCCGTAGATTATGCATTAGACTACTGCAATGCTGATATATATATATATATATATATATATATATAATTCAATGATAGCAAGTAAGATCAGATGTACACAAAATTGCAAAAATCAAATGTAATTATTTTGTTTTAATTTTATAAAACGCACAGAAAACTGACAAAAAGATCATCCATAGACAAGACTGTTGTTAGGCTAATGCAATTCTGATGTGTGTGTAATTTAATGAAAGCAAATTAGATCATATGTACAAAAACTGTTTTGTATTTTAGTGTATTTTATAAAAACATTGAAAACTGAGAAAGATTACCCATAGACAAGGCTCTCGTTAGACTAATGCAGTGCTGATATATAAATAATATTACTTAATGATGGCAAGTAAGATCAGATGTGTATGAAACTAAAAAAAAAAGTGTTTTTTTCTTTTTTACTTTAGAAAACAGACACTGACTATATCTTATGCATAGACCGTACTGTTGTTAGACTAATGCAATTCTGATGTATAAATAATATAATTTAATGATAGCGAATAAGATTATTTGTTCACAAAATTGCTAAAATCAAAGAATATTTTTGTTTTATTTTACAACAACATTGAAAACAGTAAAATATTTTCTATAGACAAGGCTGTTGTTAGACTATTGTGATGCTGATATATAAATAATATAATTTAATAATAGCAATTAAAATTAGATGTACACAAAAATGGCTAAAACTAAATTTTATTATTTTATTTTATAAAAAATATTGGATACTGAAAAAGATTATCCTTATACAAGGCTGGCATTATAAATGTTGATATATAAATAATATAATTTAATGATGGTAAATAAGATCATATATACACAAAATTGCTCAAATCAAAAGCTTTTTGTTTATTTTATAAAAACACTGAAAACTGAAAAGATTATACTTATACAAGGCTGTTTTTAGACTTTGAAATTGATGCAAGAAACCATTTGCAAATGGTTGCAATAAGCGCAAATTGTCCAATCATTGATCAGTCGCACAAATGAATGAACTGAAATAAATGCTGCAATAAATTCAACATTTTTCTACTTCATTTTACTGCAATCCAACTAGGATATATGCCGGTATCAAATTTTCATGTTGCGATTAATTGCTAATGGTTTTATCACGGTATACGGTATTATCACGATGTTGAAATTGAGTTGCACAAGTGTTGTCATAATACAGTATAACAGGTTTAATAACTTTTTACTTATAACAAAAATAACTGAACATTTAAATGCCATAAAGCAATACACCAAAAATCTATAAAGTTAAACATTTTACACAGATTAAAGTGCAAAAGAATTGTAAAGACCAATAGTTATCACTTTACAATAAGATCTCATTAGTTACGTAATCAGTTAGTTAATGCATTAAGTTGGCAGTTTATGTTAACTAATGTCAACTAATGAAGCCCTAATGTAATATCATTACATTTTATTTGCTCGGTTTTATTTTGTGAAAACTTACTACGTATATGGAATAACCGTTTTATAAAAGCAATAAGCCCCGTGAAGCCGTGGTTTACAGTGAATTTATAACAGCTAAGGGGGTTTTAGGCACTCTGCTTCGCGTTATAAATTCACTGTAAACCACGGCTTCTTGGGACTTATTGCTTTATTTCGGTATTTTGAAGTGCCCACAATAACAATATTGTGCATATTCATTACCGTGATATATCGCATTACCGAATACCGGCACATGTCTAAATCCAACATTACAGCCTGGTTTTGGACCAGCAGGTTTTGGTTTAGTTTCTGTGGTTCAGTTGAGTTTTGTTTGGCTGTCTGATATTAGTCTGTGTCTGATCTCGACTCAAACTCTGATGTGCAGCACTAGGGTTTTAATATGGGTTGTGAAATCCCTGTTAGACATGAAGGTGTGCTGTGAAGCTTCAGATATAATAGTATCCGTCTTGTCTCTCTCTCTCTCTCTCTCTCTGTCAGATGTGATCAAGCTTCAGCTGGTGGATGCTGGTCTGGTGGAGTGTCTGCTGGAGGTCGTGGCTCAGACGGTGGACAGCGACAGGGAGGAGGACGTGGCTCAGCTCAAGACGGCCTCAGACCTCATGGTCCTTCTGCTGTTGGGAGGTACAGGACCAAACCTCTGACAGAACTCAGATAACCGCCGTTTTAGGGGGGCGTGGCTGACTTTGAACTTTTATAAAGAATATCTCTTTGGATTTGAGACTTTAGTCTTTGCAACTTTACAGATCTTCTTTATGCACCAAGAGCTTGTAACACTCCAAAGAGAAAGGAAAAATTGAAATCGCATCATATGACCCCTTTAAATAAAAGCCTTGAAAGAACAAATATAGGTGCATGCAACAATAATGCACATTACATGTCATTTCCTCTGTGTGAATAAAGCAAACAGGGCCTTATAAAACAATGACATGGTATCAAGCTATGACTCATACAGTGTGTTTAATTAATGAAGTGTGCTATTCCTGTGAACGTTCATCATTTCATTTAGTCTCCCAGCAGTTATATAAACGTATTACCGGCTAAATAGGGATGCACGTCCTTTTACCTGGAGAAGGAAAGGCTGAAGTGAGGCTTTTGTGGCTGATGTGTAATTCACGTCATCAATATTAAACACTAGCTGAAAGAGTTGTGGGGCATTAAAAGGACTTTAACTGAATGTACTGAATACTGGAGGTTGGATAGTTCCTACCTACCTACACTTCAATTCAAAAGTTTGTGTTCGGTAAAATGTTTTTTATGCTCACCATGGCTGCACTTATTTGATCAAAAATACAGTAAAGTAGTGAAATATTATAACAATTTAAAAGAAGTCTTTTTTATATGAATATATTTTAAAATGTAATTTATTTCTGTGATCAAAGCTGAATTTTCAGCATCACTACTCCAGTCTTCAGTGTCACATGATCCTTCAGAAATCAGTATAATATGCTGATTTGACGCTTAAGAAACCATTCTGAATATTATCAATGTTAAAAACAGTTGTGCAGCTTAATATTTTTGTGGAAACCTTGATATTTCTTTTAAGGATTCTCTGATGAATAGAAAGTTCAAAACAACAGCATTTATTGAAATAGAAATCTTTTGCAACATTATAAATGTATTTACTGTTGCTTTTAATCAATTTAATGGATCATTGGTGAATAAAAGCATTCATTTAATTTATTTAAAAAAATCTTTCTGACCTCACACTTGAACAGTAGTTTATGTTCCTTCATTACAAACTTGATAACCGTCTAGTTTGTAGTTTTGCATTTCTTTCAGCTCTTCTTTTGAAAGAAGTCAGGGTGCTTTCTGGTTCCCGTTCAATATCACATTTTTTAGTAATAATGCTCTGAAAAGGCAACTGAATTGAAGAAAAAATTACTTAAATGGGCTTCAGAAGATGCTCACACTCCATTTTCTCTGAATCTGAGCACAGTTGAACTATCTGATTTAGGCAGATCATACTCTGAGAAACCTGATTTCACTCGTAACTTAAAAATTGACAAAATGTGTAGTTAATGCGTTTTGCCTTTTGTAGTGTGGCATAAGTTCACTGCGCTTTGTGCTGAATAAAACAGCCAAAACCTGCCTTGCTGGTTCATTGATATCATGATGAATGATAAAATCATTAACAGCCAGTCAGAATCCACTCGACTTCCAAGAGCTCAAGCATTTAAAGCGATAGACGACCAAACTGCAGCATGTGCTTATAATAAACAGAACGTTATCATCTCTTGATTTGGATGATAGTTAATATATAATGATAGTTAAGCGATAATAGTTTTGTAATTTGCATCATTCTGTCATATTAATGTATTTGTGTTGTTGCTCATGTGTGATGTGTTTTCCTGTAGATGAGTCGATGCAGAAGCTGTTTGAGGGGGGCAAAGGCAGCGTGTTTCAGAGGGTCCTTTCATGGGTGCCCTCCAACAACCACCAGCTCCAGCTAGCAGGAGCGCTCGCAATCGCTAACTTTGCCCGCAATGGTGAGACTTCAGCAGTGTTAGGGAAGGTTACTTTTTAAAGTAATGCATTACGGTACTGCCTAAAAAGTAACTAATTGCATTACTTAGTTACTTTTAATAGAAAGTAATGCATTAAGTTACTTTTTCGTTACTTTTTCTCATCTGGGCTGAGCTTGCTTGTTTGTTTTTAATATAAAAAGTTATATTTTATGGCAAATATATTTGGTGGCAAATATCACACCAAACTTGAAATGAATAAGCCTCAGGCTGAATAAAATGTAAAATAACATCTGTACAGTAGAGGGCACAGCTCAAACAAACCTTTCAGATGTGCTGCCATTCTGGATTGCATGAAGAATAGGACGCAGGAGAAGAACAATCAACACATTTCAGCAATAAAAAAAACAAAAAACAATGAAACACAAATGTTATGGTTGTGCTCATAAGTTTACGTACCCCTTGCAGAATACAGCAGGCAGTTGAACTGCTCAGGACCAACGCAGGACTCATGAACCACTATCATAAAATATAAAAACAGTCGTGGATCATCCAGGAAATGACACAGTATTAAGATTCAAGGGTGTGTAAACTTTTGAATGGGGTCATTTTTATAAATTCAGTTATTATTTTGTCTGGTGGAGTATATGTAGACATCTGTTATGTGAAATAGCTTATTCAGGACAGTACTAAATAAAAATACGGAGTGTCTGTTTACACTAAGTGCAAATAGCCCTCCTTGTTGGCAGAGGCTATTTACACTAGCTCCACCCACAAACGAGTTATAGGGCTAGTCAACACTATAAAAGACAGCTATCAGTCGTCAGCTGCAGTGGCGTAGATGGTAAAGCGCGTACTGTAGTCTTTTTGATGCGATCGACCCGGGTTCGAATCTGCCTTTTACCAAACTTTTTTTTCTTCCTTTTCAAATCTCATATCACATCATATTCACATAATTTAAATTAAAATTATAATTTACACTCAATACGTTATTACTGCATACTGTTTTATAATGTACTTTAATACTGAGGTGCAGATAATTGCCACTATTTGCAATAAGTCGTATAAATAGCAGAAAATCCTGCTATTTTAAGTGTAAATAGAATCTATCGCTATCTGCACTTAGTGTAAATAGCATATTGTTAAAAATACTATTTTCACTTAGTGTAAATAGCCGCTGCCATAAAAATAACATGCAATTTTCATGATCTCACTTATTTTGTTTCAATTATCAACATTTTGCACATTCTGTAAACTTGTTTTTATCTAAAATAATTTTTGCTTATTCGTATTGTTAAATTGGATCATCAAAGGTCAACTGCAAAGACATTTGTTAATAAAATAGGGATTAAATACATAAAGGATATTTGTGCTTTTTAACATTAAATTATTGCCGATATACGTCATATTCTGAGTTTGCATTTCACTCTTTTTATTCATTTTGAGGAATACTGAATCTGTTTTTCTCCAAGTGAGATTAATAAATGCATGTTCACATTGAGTTACAGTAAGCATCATGTTTACACAGTGCACTTGATTTCTCTCAACATGGGGACAGGAGAGCTGTCCGCCAACAAATGAGAAAACAAAGTAACTGGTGTTGCTTATTTGAAAAAGTAATGTAAATTAGTAGTTGTAAATTAAAAAATAATTTGTTACTTTACTAGTTACTTGAAAAAAGTAATCTGATTACGTAACTCTAATTACTTGTAATACGTTACCCCCAACACTAGAGATCTGTCCAGCAACATGACGATCGCTCTGTTGAGAGTGTAAATAAGTGCTTTTTTGTGTACAGATGGGAACTGCATCCACATGGTAGACACTGGTATCGTACAGAAGCTTCTCGAGCTGTTAGACAGACATGTTGAAGAGGGGAACGTGACGGTGCAGCATGCCGCCCTCAGCGCTCTGAGGAACCTCGCCATCCCGGGTCAGTCTGAAAGTTCACTCAATCATTGAATGATTCACTCACCTGTGCATGAGTGTCTTAAAACTAAATCTGCTCCATCTTCTTCTCTCTTCTCCAGTGGTCAACAAATCTAAGATGCTCTTGGCTGGTGTGTCGGATGTAGTGCTGAAGTTCCTCAAATCTGAGATGCCTCCAGTCCAGTTCAAGCTTCTGGGAACGTTACGGATGCTCATCGACACACAGGGTATTAATTAACTGAAAACAAAACGACTATCTACAGATAGTTTAGCCCCAGAATCATGCCACTGTGCTGACTGGTTGTGATGCTCAAACAAAATTTGTTAAAATTATAAAATTACCTATAATTTGAACTATATATCAATTTAAAAAAAATTACTTGATTATTGTATTTTTTTTATTAAGTATTATTGATTATTAATTATGATTTCCTGTATTAACATATATCCTTTTGAAACAGTAAGTTGGGACAGGCAATCCCTTTAGTTCTTTAGGGGGCGGGACAATACCATTCTAAAGAGAATGTGATTGGACAAAAATTGGCCAGGCCCATGAGTGCAGGTTGCGTCATCAGTTTTTTTGGTCCTTTTTTTCTGAAAGAGATTTTTTTTTTTTCAATTGTTAAAAAAAATAATTTCTGTAAAATATGGGTATTCATACTTGTTTATTTTCATTAGATAAGTATGGATATACTTATATGTTAATTATTATTAATGCTCCTGTGGCTCAGTGGTAGAGCATTGCGTTAGCACCGCAAAGGTCGTGGGTTCAATTCCCAGGGAACACACATGCTGATAAAAAATGTATAGCCTGAATGCACTGTAAGTCGCTTTGGATAAAAGCAGATCATTTAATATAACAGCTGGAAAATATCATTTTTGGGGTGTGTCTAAAAAAGAGCTGTTTTGGAGTGTATCACTTTAAATGCAAATGAGCTGCATATTCCCGCCCCGTCTCCAGAAGAGGGCGTGGCATATACGTCTCTCTGCATTGCATATCTACAGCAATAAACAGCTGGTAGAAGCAACATGACTGAGGGCGAGAGAACCGGTGTTTAGCCGTACATATGGGAAGCCAAATGCGCTGAAAGTGGGACGAAATAGCGCGATGTTACAGAGCTCACGCCGCGCTGACCTGTCATCGGCGCGGATCAATTGACCGAGCCGCGCTACCGAACGAATCTCGCGCTACGAAAGGCGCGAATTAATCTCACAAGCTCGGCGCTGATCAGTTAAAAAATACTTCATGTATGCACACAAATACGGTAAAAACTGTTGTTTCACAAAAGTGGATTTTGCATAATAAATGCCCTTTAAACAAGTATGAATATTATATTATTTATATTTTATATTGTTTTTTTTATATTAATTACTTTATTATTTACTAATACTAATAAAAATGACAAAAACACATCACAAAATTACTAAAACTTAAACTAAAATTAAACTGACCACTGAAAGTATAAAAATAAAAGCTAATTCACAATCATTCATAAAGTATTTAAATAAAAGATTAAAATAACACTGATTTAATTGGAGCTTCAAATGTGTATGCCTGCTAAAATTGAGCATGCCGATGACCACAAACAAACATGAGCTAAAAGCCACAAAACACAGTTCTTGATTCCATGGATTTTTAATTGAAGTTGATAAGCTTACAAGTCCCTGTATGTTTTACAGCTGGTTAGCTCAGTCAAAGGCAGCATGTGTGATTTGATCTCAGGTTCAGGCCTGTTCCAGCTGCTGCCACACAGCAGTCAGTCTCTGATATTAAGTGAGCGGAGGATCGATGGCACTCTGTCATTTAGTAACTATGGATCTGCAGACAAGGGCTCCGCCACGGACGAATTTGCATTGTCTTTCATTGGCAGTGGCCCAGCCGTGTTAGCTTTCAGTGACAGCTTGGGTTTAAAACGAATATTCCAGGGTAAATATAACTTAAGCTGTATCGACAGCATCTGTGACAGTCTGTCAATTACCGCAGAAAATGATTTCAACCCATCTCAAGAGTGTAAAAAAACAACAACAACTGAGATATGTGTATACAGCAATGAACGTCTAACAGAAATATGCATCTTTTACAGTGTTTAGAAAGTACACTACTAAAAGTTTGGTGTTCAATCAGCATATTAGAATGATTTCTGAAAGATCATGTGACGCTGAAGTCTGGTGTAAGGGCGGTTGAAAATTCAGCTTTGCATCACAGGAATAAATTACATTTTAAAATATATTACAATAGAACGCATTTCTTTTAAATTGCAATAATATTTCACAATATTATTGTTTTTACAGTATTTCTGTCCAGCCGTGGCGAGCATAAGAGTCTTCTTTCAAAAACATTCAAAAATCTTACCGACCCCAAACTTTTGACTGGTAGTGCACAGTATAATAGGAAAAGTTTTACAATCGGGTTTATTTTACAGCTCATACATAACACATTTTCCCCAAAAGACTTCATGGAAGAGCTTTAACAAAAATATGAGCTTCACATTTAGTTTTTTTAAACGCTCCAGAACACTGGTCTGTCTGGCCTCCATGAAGAGCAGTACTATATAAGCATTTCCTCTTCTTTTTGACAAACTGAGGAATGATTTTTATCAGACATGATTTATTATGTTAGATTTAACGCCAAAATATGCCTTTAAGAGGAATGTGCCATGAAGGATCTTCATGTAGCTACTGTACATGAAGTATTAAAGTTGCAAAGCAGCACTTCCTAAAATAGCAATTCCTAATTCTCTATTCGGGGGAAAAAATCTAATTGCGATTTATCTAATTAAAAATTGTGTTTGCTGTTTAAATTTCGCTTAAGTCTAAAATATTACGTATGAAACTAAATTATTTTTGTTTAATAATATTAAACAAAATTATTACAACTGCTGTAATATTCAGCTATATTTAAAAATAGAAAAATAATATAATTTATTTTACAGCACACTTACGGTACTAATGGCTTTCTTAATTTTCAAACGATAAACCTACAAGCTTTTATTTTTTTGGTAGAAAACCACAGGGAGACCTTAAAGATTTTCTTTTGTTGACAACAGCCAGTTTATAAGTGCTTTTGTCTAAATGAAGTTCTTAGCAATGCATATAACTAATCAATTGATCTATTTACGGTAGGAAATTTACAAAATATCTTCATGGAACATGATCTTTACTTAATATCCTAATGATTTTTGGCATAAAAGAAAAATCAATCATTTTGACCCATACAATGTATTTTTGGCTATTGCTACAAATATACCCCAGCGACTTAAGACTGGTTTTGTGCTCCAGGGTCACATATTGTTGTTTTGTAAAGATATGTATATATATGCACAATTTGTATTTGTCTTACAAAATTGATTTCAATAATTTAAGCCTTTAGTGACATAATTTTTACATTTATGCATTTAGCAGATGTTTTTTCCAAAGCATCTTGCAAAAGAGAAACAAAACCAGTTCATCAAAGAGCCAGCAATATTCATAACACACAATGCCAGGCTTTTAAAAAACTAGATTAGGAAACAAGTTAGAGGAGAAATGCAGAAGAAGTTATTCCAAACTTTTAACTGAGTCACTTCATGGTTTTGATTTCAGATTGCACAGAGAAGGACTTTGTCGGCGCTAATCTGGTGCAGGTTCTACACAAACTGCTGACAGATGAACACAGTGCACCGGAGATCAAATACAACTCCATGATTCTCATCTGCTCCATCATGGGATCAGGTGAGTCAAGAGATCGCTGAAACAAATCCTTTAACGCATTCACAAGTGTGGGAAACTATACAACAAAACTATACTGAACAAAAAGCCTGAAATTATACTCTCTAAACCAGTGTTGTTATTGTTAACTAAAACTGAAACTATTAAAAATCATTATGATTGACTGAAATAAAGCTGAAATAAAATATAAATGTGACCCTGGAGCACAAAAGCAGTCTTAAGTCGCTGGGGTATATTTGTAGCAATAGCCAACAATACATTGTATGGGTCAGAATGATTGATTTTTCTTTTATGCCAAAAATCATTAGGATATTAAGTAAAGATCATGTTCCATAAAGATATTTTGTAAATTTCCTACTGTAAATATATCAAAACGTAATTTTTGATTAGTAATATGCATTGCTAAGAACTTCATTTGGACAACTTTAAAGGCGATTTTCCCAATGTTTTAATTTTTTGGACCCTCAGATTCCAGATTTTCAAATAGTTGTATCTTGACCAAATATTGTCCGATCCTAACAAACCATACATCAATGGAAAACTTATTTATTCAGCTTTCAGATGATGTATAAATCTCAATTTCGAAAAATTGACACTTAAGACTGGTTTTGTGGTCCAGGGAACCACAAATCATTTAATCACAAATATTAAATGAAAATATTAAACAAAACATTTAAATTGCTTTAGCAATTACCTGAAATAAATTAAAGCCAAAAACTTGCATCTTAAACATGTTACATATTTAAAAATTACAAGGTTAAAAAAATGCAATACACGCATTAAGCTGTAAATAAAACAATGCAATTAAGATTATTGGAGTTTGTTTTACAAGAAAATACTATTTCAGTCATTCTGCTTCAAAATATCATTGTAATTCAGTTTTATTTGCTGGTTCTTTTTCATTAATCGTAAGTGTACTAACAATTTTTGTGTGAAAATTGTTCCTAGACCATTTAGAAGGTGACAAGTTTGAAAACGATTTACTTTCATAACGCACATTCCTAGTCTTATTGTGAACGATTCATCCCTACCTTATTCCAATTTTTTACAATGTTTTCTTCATAATGTTATATTTTTATAACTTCTTTATCATTTACTAGTTTAAAGGGATACTCCACCCCAAAATGAAAATTTTGTCATTAATCACTTACCCCCATGTCGTTTCAAACCTCTAAAAGCTTTGTTCGTCTTCGGAACACAATTTAAGATATTTTGGATGAAAACCGGGAGGCTTGTGACTGTATGGACTATTTTGACGATGTCTTTCATACTTTTCTGGACCTTGACAGTGTAATTTACTTGGCAGTCAATGGGACAGTCACAAGTCTCCCGGTTTTCATCCAAAATATCTTAAATTGTGTTCCGAAGACGAACGAAGCTTTTACGGGTTTGGAAGGACATGGGGGTAAGTGATTAATGACAAAATTTTCATTTTGGGGTGGAGTATCCCTTTAATATCCTGTTTGACATTACTGAAGTGAGTTGTGAATGCTGTTTGATGTGCCAGACTACACTCTCCATTTGAATGACTGAATTTGTGCATTTTCTTCTCTCACCTCAGAGCCGCTGCATAAAGAAGTGCAGAGCTTGGCCTTCATCGACGTGGTGTCCAATCTGCGCTCACATGAGAACAAGACGGTGGCGCACCAGGCCTCTCTCACAGAGCAAAGGTTAACGGCACAGAGCTAAAGGACTCTTCCACAACATCTCCTCCCTGCCTGCTTCCCCTCACACACACATATCTCTCGTTGTCATGTGCCAAGCTGTTGTCCCCTCCGCATTCCCCGCTAAAGACTCTCAAAGCCCTCTGTTTGCTCCGCGCATGCAGAGACGTGTTACCCAAAGGAGGCCATACTTTGTAGACAGCCTTCTGCAATAGATTCATACCCGAACAGCAAAATATTTTTAAAAGACCATAGCTGTGATAAAAAATAAACCCCATGAAATTCACCTATAAAAGTTGAGATAAAAATAGTACATGTTGGCAGTGGAAATAGCGCAGTTGTGCTTTCATGACTTGTAAACTCACACATACCAACCAACTTGTGCATGTTTTTTTTTAAATCGTCCGGTTTGTTGATGTATCTGTGTTCAGCTATTCAAGCCATGCCCATATGATATGCCCCGCCCCCTCTCCTTCCGCTTACTAATTTACATAGAAGAGTAGAGATCAAATGTGTTTGTACTGTATAGGGCACCTCTGGACCAGCATGGACCTTTTCATATTTTGCCTCCTGGTCCTTGTGCCGCCCATGATCCATATCTACTGGAAAGAGCTAATTCCATATCATTAGTCTGTTGCATTTACAAAACTCAATGATTATTGTCATATGGATGTGTGAAGAAGTAATATATTTTGATACCGAGGACTACAGTCGTTGTATGCGACGCTCTTGGAAACACGATTTTTATCATTTCAGGACCTCATCAAAAGAAGTGACGTCATTATAGTGTAGCATCAATAACTTAAAAAGGATAGTTCACCAAAAAAAAAAAAATAATTCTGTCATTATTTATTCACCTTCATGTGGTTCCAGAACTCTATGGCTTTCTTTCTTTTGTAAGAACACAAAAGAAGATATTTAGGTAGCCAAACAGTTTTGGGTCTTGTTGACTTCCATAGTATTTTTGTCCATACTTGGCACTTGGAACCATTTAGTTACCAACATTCTTTAAAATATCGTCTTTCGTGTTCCTGAGAAGAAAGAAATGGCAACGTTCTGTAGAAGATATCTTGAAGAATTTTAGTGTCCAAATTGTTTCAGGTCCCATTGACTTCCATTGTATTTTTGTCTATACTGTGGAGGTCAGTGGGACCGAAATGGTTTGGTTACCAAAATTCTTCAAAATAATCTTATTTTTTAAAGAATTAAACTATTTGGTTACCAAATTCTGCTAAATATCTTTTGCGCTCCACAGAAGAAAGGAATTCTAACATTGTATAGATACATTTTAGATACATACTGTACATAAAAGATACTTAAAGTTTGGTAACGAATGTTGGTAACCAGCAATTTAGGGCTTGACTTCCATGGTATTTTTTGTTTTGAAAGTCAGTGAAACCTGAAACTATTTGGTTACCAAATTCTTCGAAATATCTTCTTATTTGTTCCACAAACGAAAGAAAATATAGAAGGTATTTTGAAGAATGTTGGTAACCAGACAGTTTTGGGTTCCATCGACTTTCATGGTACATTTTATCCGTGCTATGAAAGTTAAACGGACCTAGAACCAAAGAAAGAAATGCAAAGACCCCAGAAGCGAACAAAGAAATGCCAACATTCTGTAGAAGATATTTTGAAGAATGTTGGTAACCAAACTGTTTTGTGTCCCAAAGACTTCCATTGTATTTTTGTCAACACTATGGAAGTCAGTGGGACTGAAACGGTTTGGATACCAACATTCTTCGAAATAATCTTCTTTTTTGAAGAATTGAAACTATTTGGTTACCAAATTCTGAAAATATCGTATTTTGTGTTCCGCAGAAGAAAGGAATTCCAACATTCTATAGATACATTCAAGATGCATACAAATACAAGATACTTTGATGAATGTTGGTAAACAAACATTTTTGGTCCCATCGACTTCCATAGTACTTTTTATTCGTGCAATGAAAGTTAAACAGACCTCAAACCAAAGAAAGAAATGCAAAGACCCCAGAAGCGAACAAAGAAATGCCAACATTCTGTAGAAGATATTTTGAAGAATGTTGGTAACCAAACTGTTTTGTGTCCCAAAGACTTCCATTGTATTTTTGTCAACACTATGGAAGTCAGTGGGACTGAAACGGTTTGGATACCAACATTCTTCGAAATAATCTTCTTTTTTAAAGAATGAAACTATTTGGTTACCAAATTCTGAAAATATCGTATTTTGTGTTCCGCAGAAGAAAGGAATTCCAACATTCTGTAGAAGGTATTTTGAAGAATTCTAGTAAGTGTTCCATTGACTTCCATTGTATTTTTGGGCCATACTATGGAAGTCAATGGGAATGTTGTTTATCAAGATATCTTTTGTGCTCCAGAGAAAAAAAAGCAATGCATACAGGTTTGGAACAACATTAGGATGAGTGAATGATGACATGTTTTTCATTTTGGGTGGACTATGCCTTTAAAACATACATTCCTGGTCAGGAAATGACTAGCATGACTGCCAGTACGCCATTAGCACACACACATACAGAAGGCATCATGGCAGATTACTGAGACATGTAAGGGCTGGGACAGGTTATGTGTGTAGCTGAAACCGTCACAGTTACGCTGAGCAAGGTAACGAATAATAATAATAATACTAGTGTCTCAGACGACAAACACTCATTGTGAACGGTTATTTTGAGAAAGTGTCTTTTTTGCATGTTCTCCTTTCCATCCTCTCCAGTATCCTCTGAACATGCACCTCCTTGCATGTCCGATACTGTGAAAATCACTGTTATGTGGCCATTTTATGTCAGGTTAATAAGTTCTTATTTATCATGTTTGTACCCTCGAGGAACCACATGGCAATCCAGTATATCTACAGTAGGAACCGTACAAATATAAACGGAAATAATTGTTGTAAATGTCATTGATGAACTGTACATTTCAAAGATTTCAACTTATTAAAACAATTGCTGGTGACACATTTTTATGCTCTGTGATTCTACCTTGACTTCTTGTCAAAGTTAATATTAGTTAAGGTGGAAATGCTTTATTACGTAAATGTTGACAGGAAAGACTTGAGCGAGCCGCTCGCTGAGCAGATTAATGACACACTGCAGTGGACTTTTATTCAATTGTATAAATAGTTAGGTTGAATAAAATGTTTTGAGAAAGTGGACTGAATCAGCAGAAGCACTAGTGATGCATTGTGGGGTACGAAAATATAGCATTGTCAAAAAGGATGTTGAAATATTCTAAACCGGTGCTAATAAAATGGCAGGTACTTTTTTGTTGTGTATATTTAAATAATTAAAAACATGCATGCATAAACACGCATATGGAAGCCCATTTATGTCACATATGAGGGGGGAAACAAAAAAAACGTAAATTATGAGATAAATCGAAATTATGACTTATGGTAGCCTACCAAATCGTAGTTAATATAGTTGATATAACTATATAATAATAATAATAGAGTTAATATAACTAAATTGTGACATAAGTCAAAACTATATTGTGGCAAAATGTTGAAATTATGTCAGTCAAATTTAAGACAATAAGTGGAAATTATGAGATGTCAAAATTAGGTAAGTCATAATTATAACACAAGTTGAAATTGACAGCTATGACATAAAAAGGCATAATTATGACAAAATTATGAGATTCAAAATTATGACAGTCGTGGTTTTGATATTTAAAACGTAACATTGTGACATGTCACGATTATGTCAAAAATTATTATGTCAAAATTCTTAGATAAAAAAATAACAATTATGAGATCTTAAGTCAAAATTATGACAAAAAGCCATAATTATAATAAGATGAAATTGACTTAATTATGCCTTTTTATGTCATAATTGACAATTTGTCAAGATGTCATAATTTGTCAAAGTTATGACAAGTTACAATTGTCTAAATTGTGGATGAGAAGTCATAATTATGGCATAATTACTTAATTATGAGATCATAATTCATAATTAAATCTGAATTATTAAAAGTCAAAATACATTTAAATTATGAGAAATTCATATGACAAAAATGCCTGTCAAAATCAAAATTTGTACTATTTAAATCTTAATTTTGAATCTCATTATTACAACTTATGTCTTATTTTATTTAGTTAGTTAATTTGAACTTTTTTGTCTTAATTTTGATCTACCAAAGCTGCTGAAATGTATGTGTACCTTGTGTGTGTGTGTGTGTGTGTGTTTAGATTAAATTAAATTGTCATTTTAGTACGAGTATCAGTTTAACTGGAAATGAACAGCAGTCTTTACCGATGCATCTGACTGTTTTTGTTGCTAATGGGACTCCCTGTTCACTATTTTTAAATGCTTCTAAGGATAAATGCTAACATACCACTGAAAAATTAATTCTATGGAAAACCCATTATTTATTGCATAAACATATAATTTATTGAAAATGTTTGTTCTTATTGCTGGAGCTTCAAGTAATAACCGCCAACATTAATATCATCACACCTTCAGATCAAACCCTCTCTCCCTGCTTTTTATAAGCATGAACACATTTGAAATGCATTGCAACTGTAAAAGCTACATCAGAATGTCCTTGAAAAGAAAAAAAGAGACATAAACCATGTTAAAAGCAGTTTTAGTGATGTACAATTACCCACGAGTGCTACATACAGTAGTGTGTTACAGAGTGTCACACCATCCAACTGCGTTTGCATTGTGAAAGTGCTAAGATATCACTCAAGGATATTTACAACAAACAAGCTTCTGATTAGTCCATACGTTACAGAAAAATACTGCCACGGTACGTGGTTCTCTTGATCAGAAATTGCTTGTGAAAGAGAAACATCGGCAGAAGAAATCTTCTGGGATCTCTAATTTGTTAGTGCAAGGACAAAAATACATTTGACTAAATTAAATGTTTGAATGACTTCCTGACTGTTTTAGTGAACATAAGTTGCAAGATTTGCTTCAGAGGTTTATACTTGAGAGTGAAATGTAATATACAGCTGAAGTGCATGAACCAGTGTTAACAGAGTAATTCAAAAACATCTTCAATGAGAACCTCCCTGACTGAGCTTCAGACGCTCACAAATAATCATCCCCCCACTCAACAAACTCGAAAGTTTCCAGCATCATCGTCTATTTCTATCTGTCATGGTTTTAATTTCCTGGATTATTATTTAGGCCTAAATGTATATCATATAATCTTAATATGGTCGGTATTCATATTTTTAATAATTGACCTTGTAAAGCCAGACATATGAAAAAAAATCTAATTTTTTGAAATGCAATAAGCATGTGTTTTTGATGAGTATCATATTTGATACATCAGGATCATATAGTATGAAATAGTGGAATATGGAGCTCATATTCAAAGAGAGAAAAGCATTAAACATTAAATTTGGTGCGGTTTCTGATATTTGTATGACCGAAACATGAAGTTCTTGTGATACAAATCAATCCTTATAACAATATAACAGAATACTTACATAAAAATATCATGTCACGCTGTATCTCTCAATAATGTCTTAGTCAGATATTTAAATGCTTGGTTTTATGATCAAAGCTCTGTAGTTTTAAAACATACAGTATAATGCAATGCAATACAATGATGATTGAGAGCTAAACAAAATAAACGCCTGATGTTAACACTGACTGTAGCTTAATAAAATAAAGTCATTATGCCAAATGAACTCATTTGTTGTTATTAATATGTTTATGTGATATTTAACATTAGTTCACTGGTTTTTACGATGCATTGTGGGGATTTTTAGTGTCCTGAATACTGAACTAGCGAGCCAATCGTGCCGGACCCTGGTTTCAATTATGGTATATTTTGTGTCAAAGTGATGGAAAGTGTTTTGAGTGATGCTTTTACAGTCCTGCAAATGGTGGTCATTTTTTGGTTAACGCAAACCTCTGTGGACACATAATTTTTCACATTACACACATTTTGACACATAAAACACTAGAAAAAGTAGCACTATTTACAGATGGTAAAAGGTTAATCAATAAACGCACACACACACACACACACACACACACACAACCCAGTGCATCTTGTGTTCATCATTCGCTACCTTAATCGTGCTGGCGTAGGCCTGTTAACAAAGAGAAAGAAACACAGTTTGGACAACACGGCTATTTCACAACAATCAGATCTTTCTATTTAGGTTGGTGTTAAAGGAATAGTTCAACCAAAAAGTGAAAACGTAATCTCTCTCAGACCATCAAAGATGTAGATCAGAACAGATTTGGAGAAATGTAGCATTGCATCACTTGCTCACCAATGGATGCTCTGAAGTGAATGGGTGCCGTCAGAACGAGAGTCCAAACAGCTGATAAAAACACCACAAGTAATGCACACCACTCCAGTCCATCAGTTAATGTCATGTGATGCAAAAAGTTGCATGTTTGTGAGAAACAAATCCATCAAGACATTTTAACTTTAAACTGTTGCGGCCAAAATAAGAGTTAATAATCCATAATAACAGTTCCTGCAGTGAAAAAGTCCATCTCCTGTTGTCCTCTCACATCAAAATCCATCCACATATTTGTTTTAAACTGTTTTCGCTTGTAAACAGTGCTTGATCTGTGCATACTGCTCTACTGATTCAGACCTTTTCACTGTAGAAAGATTTGTTTCTTACAAACACGCAGCTTTTCACTTCACAAGATGTTAATTGATGGACTGGAGTGGTGTGGATTACTTGTGGATTATTGTGATGTTTTTATCAGCTGTTTGGACTCTCATTC